GGTTCAACCGTAGTTGAACTTTTTGGTGAAGGCGCATAGCCTATCTTGGTTCAACCGTAGTTGAACTTTTTTTTTTTGGTGAAGGCACGTAGCCTGTCTCGGTTCAACCGTGGTTGAACTTTTTGGCGAAGGCGCATAGCCTGTCTTGGTTCAACCGTAGTTGAACTTTTTGGTGAAGGCGCATAGCCTGAGTCCCAGTTCGACCGTAGTTGAACTTGTTGGTGAAGGCGCATAGCCTGTCTTGGTTCAACCGTAGTTGAACTTTTTGGTGAAGGCGCATAGCCTGTCTTGGTTCAACCGTAGTTGAACTTTTTGGCGAAGGCGCATAGCCTGTCTTGGTTCAACCGTAGTTGAACTTTTTGGTAAAGGCGTTTAGCCTGAATCTTGGTTCAACCGTAGTTGAACTTACTGGCGAAGGCTCATGGCCTGAGTCCCAGTTCAACTGTTGTTGAACTTTGTCGATCTTGATGACGAAGGCTCATGGCCTGAGTCCCATATTGTGGGTATTGAGTGCTGAAGCTCGGTTTGGATTCGAGATCTTGAGCGGCTCATCCGTTGTCTTCCCAACCAGGGTTTATAGGCTGTCTTGAGGTGACTCTCAGCTCGAGATATCTCCGTGCCGGTTTCTGGCCGGAGCTCGTATCAGGGATGTGGGAGATGCCTTACAGAGACCTTCCCTTAGGAGGGGGGGGGGTGCTTCTTCTTTTTGTTTGCACTATCTGAGATCGGGGAGAGAGAGAGGACTTAGATCTTGATTTGAGATCTTCGAGTTCCATCGGCCTGATATGCCGCTTTGGCTTGTTTATGCGGGGCTGCTTCTTCTTGTTTGCACCATCCGATAGATGAGAGACAGAGGAACTGGATCTCAATTCGAGATCTTCGAGTTCCATCGGCCTGATATGCCGCTTTGGCTTGTTTAAGCTGGGTTGTTCTTCCTTTTCCGGCGTTTCTTTCCTTTTGGTCCATGGAAGAACTACGCGATTTTGCTATGAAATCCCCACAGACGGCACCAAATTGTTTGCTCAAAAGTTATCACATATCTTATGAGTATAAAACAATATAAATAAATCACGGGAAAATCATAGCAAACCGTAATAATCCGTTGGACCACATGAAGGAAACGAAAATAAGTACTCAGGATTAGGGGGAGAAACATTAAAAGCCTTTATTGATAATATTGGTTTGGTCTGCCTCTCCATGAAGAGGTTCAGAGCCTTACAATGGTGTTTTCACTTCCCATAAGATGGGTATGTTTTTCTCTTCTCCCTCTCTTGTCAATAGTGGTGAAGAAGCAGCCCCCTTTCTAGGGCTTCCACTCTTAGTATTTATAGATGTGAGCTTCGTGAGCTGGCAATAAATGGCCGTGGCCACGCTGAGGTTCCGTCCCCATGGGGGAATGAATGGGCCGTGCCCTCGTAGATTAAATCGGACAAGAGTCGAATCTTGTTATGAATAAGTGGCCATACCACTTATTAATTATGGATAGGCTCAAGACGAGATTAACTCCGTTAATTACCGTGAGATCGTATTCTGACCCATACAACTTCAATATCTTTGATTCTTCCATGCATTTTCAAGTCACTTGAGATTCCCTTATTCACTAGCTAAATCGTGTTATGGAAATATCATTGTTCGCTATAGAACATAGGTTCGGCCAATTAAACGTATGCTCTATTGGTGAGTATAAGCACTTTCACTTTTATTGAAGTTGTAAGTGATTTGCGCGTTAGAAGAAAATATAAAATATTTATTGTACTTTGTACTTTATTTTGATGTTGTATAATATAGGCATGAGATAAGATTATTTGAGTAACATGATCAGTGAGGATTTATACAGTCGATTTCAAATTGATTTGAACTGTGGCTTAATTGTTATTATTGGAGTGTATAAGCATCTGGTAGAATAGTTTTTGTTTGTTGGATTAATTTGATATGATTCACATATATATTGGTCTAATAAAGTTAATGGCAAATATGTCTCTGCCACACACTGTAAATTTAAAGCTAAAGTCAGTAGCTTTTTATCTTTTATCATATGTTCCTTAATTAATTATGATGTGTGAAGGTAACAACTATCCATCTGCAAGTTTAGTGTCATGGAAGAATGGAGAGAGCAAGTTTGTAGTAGGGACGAAAGCTTCAGTTATGGTTCTTCAGCAAGCTAAGTGCAATTGAAGGATTTAACTCTTACCATTTTACATTGTCTGTTTAAATTTCCAATGGTTCCATCGCAACTATGATATATTTCACCAATAACGGATGAGATATAAATGGTTATCTCGAAATAAAATTTGTTGTAGCTACAGCTGGAAGTCTTTTACTTCATGTAGAAGGAGAAAGACATTTGGATCAAAAAAAAAAAAAAGGAGAAAGACATGTAGTAGTTTTAGAATAAAATTACTTAGGTTAATTAATAATTAGTTGCTCTTTTTGAAATTGAATTAAAAATAATTAAATATCCATATATTTTTAAGCAAACTATTAAAAAAAAAGGGAGGAAAAATATAAATAAATAACTTCAATGTAGAGATATATAAAAAGGATAAGCCTAATTTATTTTTTAAGATGAGAAAGCTTCTGAATAATAATTTATATGGTCATGCTATATGGATAAGATCACGCAACGAAAAATATGATAATAGATAAAACTAAACATAAACAATAATTTCAAGTAATAAATAAAAAATATAAAGATATAATTTTAAAAAAAATTGTAGTCACATTAGTAAATGTATATTTAGTAAGTACCTACCAATTTAATAAACAATAAATAACAAATAAATAATTTATTTGATGACTATATGATGTGTATCCTTTGATTTGTTTTGTTATATTTCTACATGCTGTATTAAATAAATAAAACAAACAACTAATATTTATTACAACAACATGATATGTCAAATAATAATCTTATAACATTAGTATTCTGTCAAAGTTCAGCACATCGCGCGGGTTCTGACACTAATATAGAATTAACAGTGTTAGCTATTTAAATAATTCAATGCACTCCTTGAATTTTCGGTTTTCCATAAGAGAATATGAAATAGACCTTTAAAATCTTCTCCAATTTTTGCTAATTTGGATGACGATTTAGTTTAAGGGTCAACGAAACGTGAAGACATGAGTTTAAATTTTATTGAAAACCATTAAAAAGCTTTAAAATTATAAATTCGAAATCGAAGTTTGTGAAATTGTTATTTGTTTGGATCAGGTGTTGTTACAAATGACTTGAAATATCCTTTGGAGTTTATATCTCAATTTTGAGAGAATTTGGTGAAGATCCGAGGTAGTTTTGGTTAGAATATCATATTGAAACTCGAAGAAGAAGACACAAACAAATCATATATATTATTTTTTTGGTAACTAACTTATTTTATTAATCACCAAGTAAGAAATCGTATATATTTTAAATGTTAGGTGTAGAAAGGACATACAAAATAGGTGCAACATAATTGTATACAAGTTGTATATAAATTGTACGTAAATTATAATTTTTGATCGGATTACGTGCAAAAAAACTGTACTTAAATTGTAGATAAATTATAGATTTTGACCGAACTTGCATATATTTTGTAGAAAACTTTAGTTACCTTCTATAAATAGAAAATTATATATATATATATATATATATATATATATACGTCCGTAAAATCTATGGGTAATGCTAAATTCCGGGTAAATGATATTTACCGAGTTAGCTGATTTTCATAAGGATTTAATGAATTGGTGTAATATACTGATAATTTTTTTGTTAAAAAAAAAACAGATTATTCATTACTTCTTATTATAGAGACTTACATATAAATTTAATTTGACTGAGCTATAGGTTTTACACCATTAGTGTATAAAATATATTCAGTACCTTTGACGCTTAATAGAAAGCATTTGAAGGTGACAGTGGCCAACGAGAAACGAGAAATAAAAAGGTACAGTTAGAAAGAAATTACACGACGGACAATGAGATAATTTGTCCCGGGATTCTATCACGATCATGTTAATTATGTGAAAAGCAAATTGTTTCCGAAACGAATAAGATTAGTCCTTCTAAACTATTACCCAAAATCACAAAAGAGCACCACCGCAGTTCCCATTTGATAGAATTTAAACTTTTTTTAATAATAAAAAGAATACTCTACCTGCGATAAATGTTTAACATATTTCTTATTGGTAAATGGCTGGTGATAAAAGGTATGAATACATGGTAGCAGTAAATCTGTTAAGGATGAAGCATTGCCGCATTACTGCTGTTAGATCAATGGGACTGACAAAAAATCACGTTTCGATCAAAATAGCAACCAAATTTTCTACGTAGTTTATAGGAAGTTTTTCTTTCCCTTTCTTCCCTAAAGGAACTACACTCATGAACAGATCAGATATTTTTAAAGAAAAGAACAAAATTTTACTGTGTAAAAAAGAGACATCCCAAAAAGACAAAATGTGATACCCGAGCAACAAGAGCTTATCAACACTTTCAACAATGAAAATCGAATAGACAAACACAATAATTTACTTAAAACACACAATAAACAATCCACAACACAGTTTCAAAGCACTCCAGATCATATCCTGGAGCTCCTCACAGAACTAAACAGCCTACTTATGAACCATAAAGGTAAAATCAGAAGGTTCCTTAGTTGGAAGCCATAGGCTGAGTGCTGAACACCTTAGAAATCTTTTCAGTCGGTACCAATGGAAGATATGATGCAACCTTGTACCCTTTCTCTGCAGATTGCTGAACAATCTCATTGTACTTCCCAGAATAGTAAGCAGCTGTTGGAGCAACTGCTTGAGTAACTCTAGGAACAACAGGAAGTCGGTTAAGAGAGAGCCAAGCTGAAGCTGCATATTGCTCGGCCATTGGCTCGTACTTGGTGTAAAGTCCCTTGGCAGCAGGCTCATACTTGGCATAGACTGTTTTTGCAAGTCCTGATGCAGCTCCTATCACACCAGCACTTTTGACATCGGCTGCAACAGACCGAGCTGCTGCAGGAGCCTGCTTGACCATAGGGGGAACGCGAGTCTCAATCTTACGAACAGACTCATCAACCTGCAAAATGATTGTCAAATTCATGTGAATCACATACATCAACAAGGTACGGATCATCAAGCTACAATCCAATCAAATAGTAAGCAATCCGATGAAAGAGGTAGAGGCGTAGAGCAAATTAACATGTTTGTAATAAGTAATGACAAACTAAAACGTTTCCAAGAACTGTAGGATCAATTGATAAATGAAATTTAACTAAGAAATATGACTACCAATTTTTATAGTGCCAGTTGGCACCATGTTTCAATCACATACTATTTTCACAAATCGTGAAAGCTGTTACAAAATTTTATTCATTAGCCTACGATTATTATCTCTTCATTGGCTGGCCAACATTGAATAAGATACATACAATAGCCACAAGAATGATAAAAGGAGAAGCAATATGCACCCAAAAGCCCTGGATTCTACAGCAGTTCGCCAAATCATGAGAGCATCCCCACTATGAAATCCCATAACCAATCCCTATGCAACTAATAAGATATCCCAAACAGTTCATTTCTAAACTAACTTTGTGCCTAACAGAAAAATCTCACCATCATCACCACCACAAACACAGTGCATCAACGTGTGAAAACATCCAATTTTCATTTAAAAATATTCAGTTCTTCTATATGCACACATCAAACAAGAAAAACATTTAATTGACAATGTTTAACCTATCAAAGCATACCCAACATGATTATTGTTGCATTTCATAAACTTAATGGAATAAAAATTATTGAGGAAAACTGATTCAATAACTGCAAAACAGATAGATTTTGAATTTCTATTTCTAAAATGCGAATCTAGTATAGAACAAGCAATCGATCCCATTTTTAAAAAATGGTCAAACATCATGAAGCTAATTAATCAATCCAAATAATGTATAATCCCAATTGTGATATCATAATAATATAAAAGTAGAATTTCTATCTCAAAAAGTGGAATACAGTAATTAATCCAAATCCATGATATGTAAAACGATAATTTTAAAATTCATGTCAACTGTGCAAGGAAATATACCTTGCGGTCAACAAACTTGAGGACCTCGACAGGGACATCATGATATTTATCATAGACAGGCCCAACCACGGTCCTAACAGTGCCTTCGACGGTCTGAACACCAGGCTTCAACGGACCAGAATTCTCTTTGGCGTAACCATACACCTTCGCCACATAGAGCGCCGCATGAATCATCGCCACTTGCAAAAATTCCAAATACTTCAATTTCTCTTCCTCAGTCTGAGCCTTCAATCACAAAACCAAACCCAAAAAAACAAATTAGACCAAAAAAGCAAAATTACAACAAAATCGATACAAACAAGGAAACAAATGAATTAAAAAACCAATACGAAGGCTTGAAATTGAAATTACCATCTCGGGTAGTTGAGGCTTAGGGTTTGCTTCGGCCATAATAAAAGATCAAAAGTGATTCGGTATAAACGAAGAGTCGGGAATTGTTAATGAATGCAAAACGAGAAAAGTATGAGAAGTTTTTGCGTTTAGGTTTGGTGCGAGGGACAATATATACATATACGTATATAATACAGCGGCACGCATGTCAAGGACGGGGAAGGTAACTTAACCGCGTGGCCAATGAGAAACCGACTTTTTATATTTTCGACGCTATTGTGCGCAGAAGAGAGTGGACTTCGCTGACTACTTCCGGGCTAAGTTTTTTGTATTTAATTTTTTTCCTATTTCACCGTCTTCTAGATGTCTAGCTAAAAAAATGCACTACTATCTCGAGTAATGACCTCAAATAGTTACTTTCATAAATATTTACTACTAACAATTAGTAATAACTATTGTTGCAATAGATGTTTTTATTTATTAAAGGGCCAAAGTTCAAATTGTTTTGAATTATATTGGTTCAGAATTAAGACAAATTTGAATCATCTCGCATATTGCAGAGCAAATTTGTACCTTTTCCAAACTATTACAACTTACTTATATCATATTGTTATTTTAAATGTAATATTTATTTTGATTATTATTTAAGTTTTATTATATTTTATTGTTGACAATTAAAAATATTTATTGCCACTACACAATATACTTCTGCACACCACTAGTTCATGGCCAGTAGACCCTTCTTCCACTAGCCATCTTCACTAGGGCTGTTCACGCATGTTGAAGATAGTTGTCATAAAATTAATAGAACCTAAAATGCATTTGTATCGGATATTCAAAATTCGAACCAATCCGTTCAATTCGAATTTTGGATTTCGGATATTAGGATTGGATTCGGATTGTGTTTTATAAAATTTCGGATTTTCGGATTGGATTCGGATTGATATAATTTTAACCCGATCCGAAATCCGAAATTATATGGGCCTATGTACTAAATTTTGGGGTTAGGGAGTATTTTGTTGAGAAATTTTCATAAAGCACTATCTTTTAGTAGTAATTAGTCATTTATAGATACCGTTTGCTATATTATGGATTTATAGATACCTTTTATGTGGTTATAAGATGTATTTGATGTATTTAAGCTATTGTATTCATGAATACAGTAGCAAAAATAGGCGTGAATCAGGGAAGTCCAGCTAATCAGTTGTTGTATTCGAGTGTATTTGACTGTATTCATGGAGTGAAACATGGGATTACATCTGGACAGATTATTGTATTCGACTGTATTCAAGGCGTGAAATAGGGGATTACACTGTTTTTAAAACGGAAAGTGAATCAATTAACATAATAGACTCCTAATATAACTCAACAAACTCAATTATAATACACGAATTTTGTATTTTCAGTTATAAAAAAGATTCTCAACCGAAAAATACCCCAAAAACGTAGCAATCTTCAGAGAAATTATATAATACATCTGAATACATAAATTATATTAATTAAAAAATCTTATGATTACATTCATGGCATATAGCGAGACAGTGAATACAATGAAATACATAGAATACAGCGGGATACATTGAAATACAATGAGAAAAAAAGACAGTGAATACAATGAAATACGTGGAATACAACGAGATACATTGAATTACAATGAAAAAAAAAGATAATTAATACAATAAAATACATGAAAATATATTGAAATATATTAATAGAAAATCAAGTTGCTCATCCCCAAACTCCATCGTCTTTGTTCAAGAACAAACCCTAATCTCTGGCGAATCCGCCGTTCACCGAAAGCCGGTAGTGAGAAACCAACCGGATTAAAAGAGCTAAGGATTTTGAAAGAATCAAAATAGGTCCATCAGGATTTTGAAAGAATCAATATGTCCGCATGTGCATTCTTAAACAACTCCTTAGGCATCAAAACCTTATTAATAGTAAAAATAGCCAACGGCTGTTCATCAATTAGAGTTCCGGTAATCTTCGCCGTCACAATCTTCTTCTTCAATGTCACAACGTTACCGTCATTTTGCACGACGAAATCGTACTTCTTAAACCCGTCAGTAGCTAACGTGTTCATTACGCCATTATTGGACTTCAAGCTATCCATAGATTGATAAACTGAAACTCCGTGATACTCAAGCAAAGATTGTTTCCCTTCCGCCATCAGAAATTTTAATGGGATGGGGGAAGAGAATAGGATGTATCAAAGTAGAGAGAGAAAGAAAAAAAGTGTAACTGATTAGCGTATTTAGTGGCTTAGGGCTAGGAGGTAACCATATTTAAATATTTTGCTATAAACCTTAAAAGGTATCTATAGAATATAATTTTTTTTAAATGGTATTTATTTAAAATAAATAAGGTATTAACCTTTGCTATAGGAGGTAAAAATTTCTATTTTATTTTTCCACAGCCCACTAGCCCAGCCCACTGCCCACTTAGGTTAGGTTATAACATATAACTTATAAGTTAAATAGGCTCCCAACGCACACGCAAGTATACGTGGTCGACAAGTAATATAATGATAAGTTGAGTGTCGAACCCACAGAGACTTGTGTAAACTACTCACGGAATTACTAAAATTGTTATTCAGTCCAGCTAAAATCAAAGTCCAATAATATGATTATACTATACTACGATTCTAAGTAATACTAAATTATCAAGTAACGAATTGATTGTTCTGTATTCAGTAGAGACAAGTATTTCAGGGTTGTGATCGATTCACCATTCGTATTGTGTTCTAATTAACTCTCCCTTTCATATAATTCACCCATGGTTGCTAATTAATCGATAGATGCTCTCATAGCCTTCTCCCGAAGTACTACTTACCTATTCTCAATAGATTAACGCCTATATTCCTATGGAATCAACCTATTAAGAACGCATTAAGATTACGATATTTAATTAAGCATGGTGACTAGGTATATTCCTATCCTAACCACAAATCCGCCCCCCCTAAGGGTTAAGATCATGCTCTCTTCAATTTTCCTTTAATCTAAACACGGCTTTCCCAAGCATAGCATAGATAGTAAATAGAACCTAACTGTTGGCCAGACAATTAAGCAATTAAATACAAAATTGAAGAAACAACCATATGTTGGTGAATTATAATCAAGGTTAAGTTAATATCAAACCACAATATTCATGGCTAAATCACAACCCCAGAACAATGGGTGTTTAGCCACTCATGAAGTAATCAAACAATTGCATGATTGTTGAATCAATTGAAAATACTTGAAAAAGATGAAGAAAACTGAGAATTCTCCACTTCTTCACATTCCCGTGTGTGTTTTTACTCCAAAGTGGCGTTCCCCTTCTCCTTGGCCGGCTTCCTCCGTTTAATATAAGATTTAGGGCTTAAAATCCCGTGTTTTGCACTTTGGACCCCGAAGTTTACGCGTCTTGCCGCGGTCCTACCGCGGTTACGCCAGGACAGCGGCCAGAGTGGCCTTCAGAATCTGCAGCAGTGTTCTGCCGCGGTCCTACCGCGGTTATGCCCGGACAGCGGCCAGAGTGGCCTTTAGTTCTGGTTTTGCCCCTTCGCTTAGTGCACCTTGTGGATATTATATGATTGGCCTCCTTTTCTCTGTAATTGATCCCAAAAGTACTCCACAGACTTCTTTTATTGGATATAGCCTGCAAAGCATGAAAAGTACTAATCAAAGCATTTTGTTATCACTTTTTACCGTAAAAGCTATACAAAAATGTGGTTCTTTAGGGCCTAATTATAGTCTAATTTACCTATTATCACCTATCATCAACACCCCACACTTAAACGTTGCTCGTCCTCGAGCAATTGGACAATCTAATAAACCCCCAACTACATACAAGGTTCAATCATAGAGGAGCACCTTAACTTTTAACCATACACTATACCCTTGACTACGATCAATATCGGCACACAAGCATGAACACACAAAATTTCACATTCTTCCCGTTTAAGCATACCCAAGTAGAATATTTCAATTCAATAAATTCCAACAACCTATTCGTCATCGCCCAACCTCAACAATCGACTTGCAACCACTAAGCACCCTCAATTCATGCACTTACCCAACAAGAAAGTTTACAACATTACCAATCATTCATGAGATCATGTGCCCTCACCAACAAACGAAAGAATGAGTATAAATTGGTCCACACATTCAAATATACTTTTGAATATAATTTAAGGACATCACACAATTGAACAAAATTCACTCACTCTCACAAAGAATTCATATGCATCCGTCGTACCATAAGCTTGCCCGTAGTGTATATCTCCACTAATTTTAGCTAGCCAAATCTAGGATCAATTAGGACTTTTAGGTTGTAATGTAGGCTAAGGGACGGGTAGGATATATTTAGAAATAGTGACTCACCCTCCTAAGCACTTTAATACACTACATTTACAATTCAAGCTCATATTCTTCTCAACCAACCAACTTGCCACATACAACATAGCCCTCCTTTCAATTAAGCACTTCTCTATTTTTCACTAGCACAAATCAATAAGGACTGGAGGTGTTTATTTTTTCTATATATATTCACTATCATTTTTCTTTTCTTTTCTCCACACACTCCATACAATAAAGTTCATCGGCGAGTGACATTTAATTTCAACTTTAGAGCACCAACGACTCTTCCATGGTTCCACTCAAAAGACTACTCCCCAATATCTCACCTTACTTCTTTTAGTGACTAAGTGTCTTAGGAGGTACAGGTTCAATCAATATCAAATTAAGAACAAAATGGGGGTATGGCTTGTAATGTGGGTGCCAAAAAAAGGTCTATAGGCTCAAATGGGCTAGCAACGAAAAATTTATTTTTATGTGACAAGCACATCCATGATCAAGCAAGAAAATGCCTACGTCATCTCCTAGATTAGCACAACTTACAATTTCGCTTCAATTAATACACGGGGCAAGTTCTAGACTACACAGGATAGCATAGAAAATCACGAATCCTTACACACACGTTGCACATGACTCAATCAAGACGGTTCTGTTCGACTCTCAAGTCAAGCAAGCACAATTAAATGAGAAAATTAAGCAACATTGCACTATGCAGCCTACAAGTCAAAAAGCTGAGAAAAGGCGTCACAAAATAGGCTATTTACTTTACTTAGGCTTCACAATTCAAACCAAGTACACGGGAAAATAGAATGTATGTCATAGCCTAATGTGCTAGCATCAATCATGTCAATGAGTATATCAGAACGACTCAGTTTCTTCCTA